ATATATATATATATATAGACTTTTTATGAGGGAATTGAAGGCCTGGTATGTAAGTAGGTGGCATTGGGTTAGGACATATGCAGAATTGATTAAAACATATTGGGTACGGAACGAACAAATCTGGTTTTTGTGAGTTGTTTATGAGTATTACGTTGATGCTTCAAAAATTGTAGTGAAGAAATTGAATAATATCGGTCTGATTCTCTCGTTCGTTCGTAATCAATATAACCTTGATGATGCGTTATTACAATAAAATAGCACTAACTTTATGATTAAATGAAAAGGGAAAACTTGAAAATGGGTGGCGGGCATGATCAGCCGTCATTTCGAGTTGCGTTATACCCCAGGATGACGTGCTCTGAAGAGAGCCAACCGAATTTAGATGAACGTTTCGATAGTGCCGTTGGCATCATTCAGAACCTTCCCAAAGATGGTTAGTAGTTTTTGATGTAGTTCTTTATTCGCCTTCTGAAATTATCTTGAGTACTTCTATGTGATCAGTCTTTGAAGTGTCATATTCACTGATCATACGTCTTTTGTTGTTCTTTCCCTTTTCTCATGGCACTCGATCAGCACAAAATGCAGTTGATTAAATTCAGGTCCAATGCAACTGACCAGGGATCAAAAACTGAAATTTTACTCATTCTTCAAGCAGGCTACTATTGGTCAATGTAATAAACCAAAACCATCGTTTTGGAATATCGTCGATTCTTACAAATGGTATCGTTATGCGGTATTTCATCATCCGTTTGAATATAATCGAGTTCTTCTGCAATATTTTAAGAAATATTGCCAACTGATTTAAAACCACTTTAAATTTGCACGAAAATTCACATTCGTCAACGATCTGGCAATTGAAGGGATGCATGGAATAAACTCGGTGAAATGCAAAGCGAAGAAGCAAAATTGAAGTATGTGGAATGCTTTCGAGATTTTGTGACAAGTATCATGGGTAAATACAACTTTGTGCCGTGGCTGAAAGCCAACGACGAATTCTGTGAAACTGTTCTCCGACCGAAGTTTTATGTTCTCGGTTATGGTTAGTTGTGCAGTTGATTTGCGAGAAGAAATTGTTTGGAATCGTTTTTCGTTGTTGACTGAGGTTGTTTTGAATTGACAAAATCAAATATCTATGGCACAGTTATTGTTGCATCACGTAAACGAGCTTGCAATGGTATTGCAGATTGGCAACTTGTCGAAGAAGAGGATGGTGAGCAACGGTTACTGGATATGGCTACTGGACAGAACGCTGATGATAATAATAGTGATGATAACAAGAATGGTGAAAATTCGTCGCAAAACGCGAACAGCAGTTCGAAAGTATATCATATTTATCGCATATTTGTTGTTTTTATTGCGTCGCATAGGCATAACACGTTTATAATGCCGTAATATAATCGTAAGGCGTTGAGACCTTAAGTAAACTTCTAGTACTCAAGTTAAACTTGTTTTTCATTGGTTCATCAGTTGATTGATAAAGGTTTGCTATTTAACCTATCAGTGATTGTTGATTGAAGATAGAAAGCGTATCGGAAGGAATTGTTGGGAGAGGATGCAATGCAGCGAAAATCTCGTGCAGTGATGACGGTTACGAGGATGCAAGTGATGAGAATGAGGTTTGCATCTCTGTCGTAGTCGTTAGTGGAGGCATTTGGTTTTGTTTGTGATGGTATTAATCGTTGTTTTTGTTGCTATCGAACTGAACCCTTGTAAAGTTGTTCGCTGATCTCGAAATTTCATTGAAGTCTTCTTTTGAGAAACATGTTTTCATCGACCGATCGTTTGATCCGTTCCGTTTTCGTTTACTGAATTCACGTCAAGGTTATTTGTCA